TTAGTTACCTTTTTATTTATAAGTAGAAGGAGTACAGTCTAAAATATTAATAACAATACAAAGTATAGTAATACTAAATGCATAAATCAGTAACACAGTCATACACTTCATTATCAAGTATTATGTACTGAACATAACCGTACGTGCTATGCTTTTATACAACTGGCATAGCACATGGTTTCACCATCATAGCCACAAACATGTGAGTAATGCATCGTGTTATGACGTCACTAGGCAATGGGAATTTTTCAGCTCCATTACTCTTACAGGACCACCATCACACATGCAGTTCATTGCTGACTGAAACGCCGTTACGCAGTGCATGATTGTAATTTTTTTTCTGGTCAAATAGATGTCGCGAACTTGTTGATATTATTAAAGAACCAGATTTTGGTTTCATTAATTTTTCTCTGTTGTTTTTCTATTCTGTGTTTCATTAATTTCTGCTCTAATCTGATAATGTTCTTCCTTCTGCATGCTTTATCTTTAGCTTGCTCTTCTTTTTCCAGTATCTTAAAGTAGAATGTTATGTTATGAATTGAGATCTTTCCTCTTCCTCAATGTAGGCCTTGATGACTATAAATATCCCTCTACACTTCAGCTACTTTAGCTGTATCCTATAAGTTTTGGTATGTTGTGTCTTCCTTTTCATTCATCTCAAAATATTTTCTGGTTTCTCTTTTGATTTCTTCTTGGATCAATTGGTTATTGAGGATTGTGTTATTTAATCCTTAAATAGCTGTGAGGTTCCCCCAATTTCTTCCTTCTTTTGATTCCATTGTAGTAGGAGAATAAACTTTGTATTATTTCTATTCTTTTAAGTATACTGAACTTTGTAGTGGCCTAGCACATGGCATATTCTGGAGAATGTTCTATGTGCACTTGCAAAGAATGAATATTTTGTTGTGTTTGGGTAGAGTGTTCGATAGATGTCTGTTATGACTAGTTGGTTTATAGTGTTGTTTGAGTCTACTATTTCCTTGTTGAATTTTCTTTCTATTGTTCTTGTATGAATTCCTATCAGTAAAGGGAATTATGCTTTTCAGTGTCATTTGTGTTGCAAATATTTTCTTCTACTTTGTTTTTGTCTTGCCAATGATTTCTTCCTAATTTTTATATTGGTAACTTAATGCAGGATATTTGTGGTTCCTTGTCCTACTGAGAAGGTCCTTCCCTTCTCCAAATTTATAAAACAAATTTCTTATGTGTTTTTGCACTACTTCTGTGGTTTCATATTTTACAATTAACTCATTGATCCACCTGTCTTTATTTTCTTATAAGGAAAGCATATTATTTATTATTTGTCAGCAGTAAGCTTAGCTGCTCCAGCACCATTATAGAATAATCATGCGTTTATTATTGATAGCAAGTGTCATCATCCTACTGTAGGAGTAGGAGACCCGGAGACAGGACTGAGACCAGAGGCAAGATTTGGAGAGTGGGTGCAGGTGTTAAAGTAAACGACTCTCAGACAGAAGCTAACTGGAGGGGCTGATAACTGCAGGCAAGGACGTGCTTGTCAGCTACCTCTGTCACCTTGCATGAACTTTGGCTAATTACAGTATCATTTGCATTGTAGTTTTAAAATGTCTCCACCCTTGAAATCACCACATCAGTTTGGAGACCACCATATAAAGTATGAAAACAGGAGGGAGCCCAATTCTCGGAATTACTACCTAAATTCTTAGTAAAAACCAACCCCTTAGGCTTGACTATTCCTCCCCTCAATTAGTAAGATTTCAAAATCCCAAAAACTGCTTCCTCCCACTGCAGCTGCTCTTTTCCAGCCTGTCCGCTCTCTCTTGCTCTGGACAGTGTACGTTCACTTTCAATAAAAAAAAAGGCTGTCGCTTGCTTGGCTTATGTGTTGCATCCTGAGCTGCTTTTCCCCGACAATCACCAAGAACTTGGAACAACCTCCACTCAGAGGCTGCCAACAATAACACATTATTAAGCAAAGTGTTATTTTGAAAGTTGGGTTTTCTAAGAGTAACTTTCAGTATAGATAAATGTGAATCAGAGAGGAGAGAGCAATAGATCCTGTAGGGGAGAGTGAGGTCGCCTAAAGGTGAAGGTCAAACTTCAGAACTTGGTTCAGGATCCCCAGTAGCGACAGCTGGTGCAGGTCCTCACCCAGAGCATGGAGGCGGCCTCTACCTTCCAGGGCAGCATTAGGTGGCCCCTTTCTTTGGATTAGTCTTGGACCCTACACAGGTGGCACCCATTTTGCCTTCCATTGTCCTCCCATGGCGGGTGGCATGAGCTTTCACTGAAGGCCTTCCCTTCATTAATGTGTCACTTCTGTGCCTGTTTGTGTCTTCTACTGACCAGGAGCACATTGGGCACAAGGATTAGGACTTTCTCCTGTGAGTTTCCGGGGACCTAGGTGGTGTTGTGTTGGCCTCTAGGCCCATGTGGTTATTGATCCTTCAAACACATCCATTCTGAATTGAGATATTGTGGGGGAGAAATACACTCTGGATATTGAATACTTAGTATTAAAAATGAAGTAAAGTGTCTCAATGTTTTCTATTCCTTACATGCAGACATGATAATGTTGTGGATATTTTGGGACAAAACATACAGTGTTAAAAGTAATTTGACCTCATTCCCTTCGCTGTGTCAATATGGATACTATGAATTTGGATTTTATGCGTGGCTCCTGGTACATATGTGTCAGTAGTACTGGTTGGAGGTGTCCAGCAGATGCAAAGTCGATGACCAGAGCAAGCTGCGTAGGTGGATTTCCCTGTTTGGATTTGACTGATGGCCAAAGGAGGAATTCCCTGTCACCACTGCCAGCCCCTGGGGACTCTGTGGCGATTCATTCATTGGCCTTTCTCTCCCTTCCCAGGAACAGCTCTATCAGAACACACTGGACTTTGTAACCCCTGCACTCCTGGTGAGGATTACACCAGTCATCCGAACAATCTGCCTCAGTGCTTACCATGTCGACCTTGTAAATCAGGTACAGAACACGCTCACCCCACACCCAGAGATGCAGTGCAGGGTGGCGAGGTGGGGGTTGTAGCCCACGTGAGTCAGGGAACCAAGTTCCGGTCCCATTTGGTTTTTAATCATGTCCTGTTCCATGATTGTGTATTAGGTCAATAATATAAAATACAGGC